ATATATTATATATATATATATATATATATATATACATATATATAGAGAGAGAGAGAGAGAGAGAGAGAGATGAAGGTTATAATATACGGTAGAGTTACGGGCAACTATTTTGTAAGTGTTACATCAACTATTTTTTATGGTTTATAAACCTTGATGGAATGATTATGTAACGGGATCTTAGTATTTTTCTATAATATAATTTTAAGAAAACTATTTTTTATTTATTTAATTTCTTAATCTGAAGTTCAGTTATGGTAATCTTGTGCAGTGCTGAACATCTATTAACGTTTGGTAAAGATCCGAGGAGTTGACTAATTTCAGCGTCCCACCTGTCGTATCTCGCCACGTGCAACCTGACAAATAAAAATTGAAAGTTTTACGGATTTACCCTTTATAGAGTTTGATTTACAAAATCTATATATATATATAAATTTCTTAGCAAATAATTTAATAAAATACCTTTTGTTTTCTCTTTTTATCTTTATTTTTGCATTAATCAAATAATTATATATATTATTTTTTTTGGTATATAATTGCTACTATTAACTAATAATGAAGTTACGTTAAATGTTAGTCTATTATATAGTTTTTTAAAACTATTTAATTAATTTTTTTTAAGCAAGTTTTTTTAATTAAAACTAGTTAATTATTTTTATGTTGTATGCAAATACTCTAAACTTTCGTACGTAATTGTTATAAATAATAATTTCAATATTGTTTTATTCAGTTAATTGGTCATTATTAGCCAAGATTGTATCAATATAATGATAATATGTAGGTTAAATAGTTATATTTATATTGTTCATTTTTACTAATGAAAAAATTTATAAAATGTGATTTATTCATTATCTAACTTATGATTTTTTTTTATCGATAAATATAAATATAAAGATCAAAACTGGGGTTTGAACGATCGTAAGACAGCATACAAAATCATAACGGGCAGCCACAAGTTCGACTCCTCATTCGCTAGAGAAAGGATTAGGAGGACAACCACATGTCGGTTGCCCACTCGAATGTCAATGAATAGCAAAGAGAGTATATGGGAACTCGGCACAACAGTCGGCGAGAGTGTCTCCGCGCCGGCGTATGCATGTTGGAAGCCGGGGTTAGCGGCGCCATGCGCTAGGGCTTATGTGGCGTGGGCCTCGCGCCAAAGGAACTCGCGTTGGACGCCGAGGTTAGCGGCGTTAGGTTGCAAGGCAAGCGACGGTAAGGCTGACGTGGAGTGGGCCTCGCGCCAAAGCAAATCGCACTGGAAGTCGGAGCTAGCGCCGCTAAGCTGCGGTGCTAGAGGCGGTAAGGCTGACGTGGAGTGGGTCTCGCGCTAAAGCGAATCACACTGGAAGTCGGGGCTACCGCCGCTAGGCTGCGGTGCTAGCAGCGCTAAGGCTGACGTGGCTCGTGTCTGACACATGTCAGGTCTCCTGGATGAGGCGGCGCTAGGCAAGGCTCGCGGCGTTACCCTCCCCAACGCTGGGGTCTCAGTCCCTCGCTAAGCCCATAAGCGGCGCTAGGCATCATGTGTTAGCGACGCTAGTCGTTGCTAGCGGCGCTTCTCTTCCTAGGAGTTGCAGGCTCTGTCCCGCGCTAGGTCCCTAAGCGGCGCTAGGGATGATGTGCTTGCGGCGCTAGCCATTGCTAGAGCTATCCTCCCGATGTTGTAGCCCATTGCCTCGTTACCTCCTCGCTAAGCCACGCAGCGACGCTGAGCGGACAACTAGCGACGCTAGGTGCATTGTTACGGTGGTAGCACCTGGAGCCAAATGCCGAAACCCACTAGCGACCATGAAAGCAGCACTACTTCCTGGGAGATCGGCCAACTCCAAATGCAAAGAAGGGGTCTCTCAAAGCCCAAGGCTCCGCCTTTCAAACTCGGCAAGCACATTCGGGTATAGCGCAAAAATAGTGTGATAAACATAAGTTTTTACCTTATGGATCACATGGCTCGTGGGTTGATATTCATTTCGAAAATCAACTTATACCTTGCATTCCAAATGAAGTACACGGTAGCCGCTAGCGTCGCTTTCTTCAATTTGTTTTGCCAACTAGCCCCTCTAGCCTCCTTCTTGGTTCATCTGAGGGTTCCTTTGAGAGTCGACGGCCTATGACGGAGGCTAACCCATACTCCGATCTCCCCCCCCCCCCTCCCCCAATTTCCGAGTAAAAGGGGCAATCAAAGAAGAGGTGACTCGATGATTCATTCACAACACCGCATAGAGAGCAAGTGGGGTCTTCGCGCGAGGAACTCTAAGCGATCTTTTATCCGGAACGATTGAGCACCCTTAACCAAAGGATGAAGGAGTGTTTGGGGGTATTACATGTTCCCCAAACAACCCCGGTTTAAGACACCGAAGACCCTCTAGGTCTTACGAAGTCGTAGCATTTACTTGACTCATCTTGCCTATCTCGAGAGCTCCAACCGTGAAGAAGGGCTTTCGCAGCTCGCTCACTATCCACCTTTTCAACCAAGACATGTCGAATCCCAAAAAGAGCTTTGAAGAGAGGCAAGTCTTTCTTGTTAATATTGCATAAAATACAAATTGCGTATAAAATTTTATTTTTCCTGCATTTGCACATGAATGGATACTAGTTATCAGTTCCGCTCACCTGCCCACGATGGGCAGTGCCCACCACTTTATTTTACATGAAAAACGTTGAGAATACGTTTTTCCCACCATACTAGTTATATCCATTAATCCACCCCACCCCTAAAAGGACTTACTTTTACCACCATTTGGCAATTTGTGTTTTCCCAAATATTCAAAACATGTACTGTGGATTTGCATTAAATTTTTGGATGCCTGACGTTACAAGTACATGAAAGTACCAAATAACCGGTTGTACTAAAATAAATAATACTTTATTTACAAATAAAGCCCCAACAATTAGATCTAACTAGTATGTAACTCGTGCGATGCACGGGCTAGTACATGTTTTGGAAAATTTTAAGAAATTAAAAGGTCATTAATTAATAAGTTATTATAATACGTATGACATTTATAAAGTAAACATAAAATCGTCATTGGTAAAAGGTTATACATTATTAAAAATTTCCTTATATACAATGTTATTAGTTTGATTACTGGGTAACTCATCGTCCCTACAAACTAATATTTTCAACCCCTTCCTATTAGTAACACGTGAAACAACGACGTATAACTGGCCATGACTAAAAACATGTTTTTTAAAGAACAGTCCAACATGTGATAAAGACTGACCCTGACTCTTGTTTATGGTCATGGCATAGGAAACCATAAGGGGAAATTGCCTCCGTTGGAACTTAAACGGAACCCTAACATCAGAAGGAGTTATGTTCATCTGAGGAATCAACACCTTCTCACCTGCGTGATCTCCAGTCAATATCCTACATTCAAGAACATGCGGAGAGAGCTTCGTAACAACCAAACATGTACTATTACACAGACCCATAGAATGGTTCATGTTTCGCAACAACATGACTAAAGTTCCTATCTTCAAATGCAACTCATGGTTCGGCGTTCTTGAACACTTAATGCTATTCAAGAACTCGGGTGTGTGGAGATCACCCAAAAAGCCATTGCCGGAATCCGACTTAGACGTACTGTCAGAGCTCAAATATGTACGACCTTCAGCAGAATTCATATGCGACATATATTGATTGATAGACTCAACGACCTCCAAAGTAGGCGATAATATAGCTCTGTCCTTTAAATAACTTGGATCATCAGTTGCATTTTTTAACATATAAATCATTAATCGAAATGAATGAGAGACGTCATCTCACGATAACAAATATAATAACACTAAAATTCATAATTCAACGACATGGAATGACAATAAAACATAATAAAATTAATAAAACAATAAATATATTACAAATAATAACCTTGAAGGACATGGAATAAC